ATGATGCAATCGAGTACGCTTTGCAAGATGAATTACTTGAAAACCAAAGAAAAGAAAAACTATTACTTCTTAAAAAACTCCTCCTGAAATCATAAGCATGTTTTTATAAATTTCTGAGTTATTTTTACATAAATGATGAGTAGAGATCTGATCTTAAACAACCACAGTCCAGTAAGAATGTATTTTAATCGCAAGTACTTAACTACAACAACCGCGATTCAGTAGGGAAATCTAGATTTTTTAAATCTTCCTGAAGTGAGGTCATCCTTGTTGTAGTGCTTATTTACATTTCCGAAGTGGGGCTGTCCTTGTTGCCAAATAATCAATACTCCCGGGAGTAAAAGGTGCATGCAAATTTATCTGATTTGTTTAGGTCGATTGCTAAGAATAATTTATTTAAATTTTATCTAATCATTTATTATTATTATTATTAGATTAAAAGTGTAGTTTCGACGGTGAATTCATTGCATGCAAATAAGATGCTTGTTACTTCTTCCCATAAAAAAGAAAAAATACAAGATATTACTACAAATATTTTAAACTTAAAGCGGAGTGTGGAAAGTATTTAACTTAAGATTATTATTTTTTAATGAGATTTTGAATAATGTGTGTGGTTATAAATTAGAATCGAATTCTTCGTGGAAGATGTTCGGATGAAGAACGTGATGCTTATCAAGACATTTATAATGCTTTAGACAAATTAGCTCTAAAATATGATGATGACGATTATGATTCGTTAAGTATGGAAGTCATAGATATTACCTCCAAGTGGGCAAGTGAATTCAAAAATACCATGATTAATTTTGCTAAAGTAAGTAAAATTTTGGTTAATATATAGATGTGAAAACTAACTATATCAATTATAATAGGGAGTGTTTTCAAAGAAATTGGAATTGGAAGAAGATGTGGTAGAAGAATGTAAGAGTGTTATTCAAGAATCTCAAAACAATACCATTCTTAAATGGATTATCTCTGAAAGTTCCGTACCCTCCTTGGGTCAATGGGTAGAAAATTTAGAGTCGTGAAAGAAATGTTCTCAATATAAAAATAAAAAAAATACTAAATATGATTCTTTTTTAGAAATAATATTTGGAAATTGAGTAAGGATTGGAATAAAAATCAATCCG